CCATTGTGTGTGAGACCCTGATGGCATACATGGATTGGAATGTGTATACCTTAGGGCAGGTTCTAGGGATGAAGTGAAGGGGAGCAAAGACTACATGAATGTGCTCAGTTTGTGTGGTACCTTTATTTTTTGCAGAAGTTGGAAAAATGGATATCAGAAGACTATCTTAGGGCATTTTCAGTTTAAAAGCACTATTAAGTTAGAAGAATTTTATTTCAAATCTTTTGAATTGAAGTAACTGGTTATAAATATTTCTTATTAGGAGCTCAAATGATGTTACTGCTTAGCTTCCAATGCAGACATGACCATTTTATAGAAATATTTATTCACTGTATTTCCACATCCCTTTAAACAGCCTATGTGTGAATGAGTTACCAGCTACATTTTTTAAAAAGCAATCTGCCTTCTTACTGTGATAGTATGGCTAATAAATATAATGATGTGGGCTCTATTTATTTACTTGATTGGTATATTTGCAAGTGTGAATTTAGCATTCTGATTTTCAACAACTTCAGCTGACTGGGGTCCCCCAGCACCAAACGCAAAGGACACTGGGTTCATGTGTTCTTTCTTCTACCCTTGCTACTTTGGGCTTTGCTGAGTCCTTACTGAGTCAGGCCCCAAGGGAAGGGCTGATAATGAATTCGTGATCCTGTGCCCCAAACATTAGATGTGATAGAATAATGGAAGCTGTTGACTTCATTCATTCATAGGGAGGAATGAGCTTCTGCCAATTATGAACAAACAAACTATAATAGATAAACAACTAGCTCTTGAAATCATAATGAGAGTGAAGAGAGTTACGTGTGTGTACTTGTCTCCTTGTATGTGTGGTGTGTGCATACGATGGCGGGGTGGGCTATGGCTAAAATGTAGATAGCCCTGTTGACTGTTCTTTAGACACAAGGAGAATCTTTGTCTTTAATCTGAACTTTTGCTGTTGAATTCTGTGCCCATTTTTCTATTAGTTGTTACACTTGTAAATTTTAAAATTACTTGGGTATGAACATATTGAAGGTAGGAGTAGTTATTTTCCCCAGTTTACTGAGGAAAGTTGATAGGATTCTGGGAGATGGTATTAAAAAAGCATGTGGGGAAAAATGATGATGCTAAAAATGAAAGAGAAGGACAATACAGTGAGAAATACAGCTACCAAGTGGATGCCCACTTAGCTGGTTGCTGTGTATTGTCTGGGTGAGAAGCATATTCTGGAGATCAACTTAATTTTAAGAGTTGTTCTAAAGCAGTGGAATCTGACCTATAATCTTATCAAGCTGTGATAATTGGATCATTTATTCTCCCCTTTAAATAAATACCGCTGATGGCCTTGATGGTATCACATAACCATGTCCTGGTTCCTCTTTATTTGTGATTCTGTGGAGGCCTTCTCCTGGGTGAGGGATGGCCTGTGTCGGCCTGAGGTTTCCAGTGGAGAAGAGATGACATGAGCATCCACTGCCTGGTCTGCTTTGGAATTCTAGGATGACCTCTAAGTTTTCTGATTTTCCTACTTATTTCTAATGTTTATATGTATTTTTTTCTTCAAACTAAGCTGTAAGTTACTTCAGAAGTGTTTAGATTTTCGGGTGTCTTAGATTTGGGAGGTTGGTAGCTTTGAGTTGTTACAACCTAGTGCTGTTGTCTTGTGGTTACAGTGTACTGCCTGTCTGATTTCTTCTTTTTTGTTTATGAATTTTCCTTTATGGCTTAGTACCTGATACTTTTATAAATGTTTCTTTAAAAAGAATGTTTGTATCTGCTTCTGGGAAGGGTTCCATAGGTACTGAACTTATATCATTGAAACCTCTAGAGTACTCAGAGGGTGTTGCTTGTCTGACTCTGGGCTGTCCTGCCTCTCCATGTTTTACTTTGTCAGATCCCACTGGGACTAGGGAGTTGAGGGCAAGGAGGTTGGGGGCAGTGTAGCTGTGTGGGGCAGCCTGAGGGCCAAACATTAGAGGGAGAGCCCTTTGCTTGGACTGATTAAATTAGGTCATCCTTCAATACAAATGAAACATTTTCTTAAAAAAATTGTTGACATAAAGGAATTGACTCTTTGAGGAAACCTCCCTTCTATCTCCTCTTTATAATTTAGTCAGTCTCGATTACTTATGTTCTTTAAGGAGAGGAGGTCATTTTAGAAGAATTTAGTCTGTGATAAAAAAGCATAGCTTATTGCACTATGTGTTCATCTCTAGGGAATGGGCTAAGGAGCGATAGAGAAGGGGGTCAGCATGATCCTTTATGAATGGAGGTGAGTTGGAGATGAATTTGTTGATTTCTTTCTGTGTTCTTCCTCTTTTCTCTTTGCACATATCCTGTTTTATGAAATATATTACTCTTGCCTTTTGCTGAATTTGAATGTTTCATGGTGCTGAAGAGTCCAGTCTGGGTGTGAATCCTGTCTCCGCTACTTGTTAGCTGTATGACTCTGGGCACATCGCTCAGCCTCTTTGTGTCTTGGTTATCTTATCTGTGAAATTAGTAATAGTACCTACCCTATAGGGTTCTTGTTGGGATTAAATGAGATAGAATATGTGAAGATGCTTAGAATTGTACCCAATAAATGTGCTCAGTAGTGTTCAGTAAGTGTAAGCTATTTTCATTATTACATTAGACAGGTAGGGGAGCCAGCTTCACATTTGTCTATATCAGTTTGGATGAATAAGAATAAATTCAACTGTCTAACATTAGTTAAAAAATGATTTAATGTTGAATGCCTGAACTTTTTAAATAGCCTATATATGAGTCTCTTAAGTATTATTGCAGTGACCACAAAAATTAATCATTGTCACTATTTAAATGATAGTTTGCTTTTTGGAGGAAAAGATGTTATTTATAGATGCTTTCATAAAGCTTATGTACTGACTTACAGAATTTTCCATGCAGATGGTCTGGTTTTTAAGGTTTATTAAAGTTAAAATATCAAAAGTAAGGTTAGTTAAAATTTCTCCTGAAGATTTTAACTTTAGTGCTACATTAATAAGCTTTTTGTTGTTCCCTATCCAGCCATCAAAACTTTCATTCATCTTCACAGTGTGGGGTCTGATTGATAACTTCAAAGACTTCAGTCCCTAACCTTTATGGTCCTGTGCATGTAATTAGCATTGGTTAAAGATATAATAGAGTCCTGTTCACAGGCAGCCTTGTTTACTGTCTATATTTTATGCAAGTGTTTTAAACACCCGAAGTGGGTAGCAATGACAGAGAAAGCTAGGTCTGACTAAATTTCATTCTTAGCTAGATGTTTTGGAAGTGATTTAAGTCTAGGGACATAGAATAAGACATATCTCATGACTTAGAGCCAAAGACTTTGGGGTTTGAGTTAGATGCATTATATCTTTGGGGACTTACCAGGGCTGAGGGTGTGGGAGACTCATTGGTTAAGAATAATTTCTTAATTTACAACTTGTTTGTACTGACAGTAGTAGTGATATTCTATATACCTTCAAAAATATTGGCCACTTCTCTTGTTCTCTTATATCTGGTAGAGCAACCCTGTTTTCTGGTGTCCTGTCTGCTCCCATCCAGGCTTACCCTGAAGTTGATGTGAGCAGGCAGTGTTTTTGAGGAATTGTCAGTGAGATCCTGGGTATTTGGGCTAGCCCTTAGGTTGTGGGATGTGAGGAGGGGAGTGGGTTGTGGAGAGGAGCCTAGCTCTCGCTCCCTTCTGCCCAGGCTGCTGGTAGCTGTAAGGTGCATGCTGTTAGCCAGCCATTGCACTTAGCTCCAGGGAGCGGTGGCTCATGCTTTGAGGCCACTGTAAAGCATTTACTGGGAGGCAGGCAACTGAGGGTGGTTGCAAGTGATGGGCCAAACACTGTTAAAGTCCTTCTTGAATAGTACAAGGAGAATGTGGGAGTGTGGTTAGAGACCTGGGCACTTTGCCTAGCACTGTAACTCATTCATTGTGGAACCTTACCTCAGTGATTGGCTCTTAATTTTCTCTCTGAAAAATGGAGAATCATAATATAATGCAATCTGCTTACCTCTAAGAGTGTTTTGAGGAGTAACTAATTAATTACTTTGGTTGAAGGTGGCATAGCCTGCTCTGGACATAATTTCATTGCCTTTCCAGGGAAGCTCCAGTTTGGGGGAATAAAACAGTGGAAAGAAGATAGGGCTAAAAGGGCTATCTACAACTTATTTGGTGTGTCTCAAGTCTAAGTATAGGTCAGGTTTCCGTTCTAGCTGAGAAATTTTAACCTAAAATTTTCTACAGTTTTTTAGAAGTGACACCAAACCTGCTGTCTGACCTGCTGTTTGTGGGCAAAGAACAGATGTTTATTCTGAGAACATATTAATAAAGATGTTAGTGGTTTTTCTCCCACTGTAAGGGGAGAAGATAGGTCCAAAGAAAGAACATAGATTTAAGTAGAATCTGCTCTTATTGTCCATTACTGATGTGCTCCTTTTGAGAGAGTTGGGATTACTTCATACTGTTGATTTTTCAAGTTTCTTTGACAAAGAAATTTCATAGATATTAAGCCAAAAACGACAAAAATATAAACACACACAGACACAACAGTTCTTTAAATACCAGGGATGTCAGTATGAACTTAAAGTGAATCTACTGACTGACATTTCTGCTTTGGAATTTTTTAGTATAACCAATTTAAACCAACAGTGACAACTCCTGACTTTACCTTATAATGGGAAGTTTGACCTTTCTCAGTGTTTTTAGTGTAAGGGTGTTGATATTGGGTGTTTTTGGTTAAAATTTGCTTCAACTGTGTAATGGCTCTTGGGATTTTGGTCAATCTTTGGTTGTGGAATAGCAAATGCTGTCAATTGTGTTGGTACCATGTAGTTTTCAAATTCAGGTTCTCTGAAGTAGTGGATATGGTATCCCTTCCCACCCATGTGTAACTGTTAAAAAGAACACTGTTGTCATGTGAATTCTTATTTTTTTGAGCTTGCTTTTAAAGTAACTTTCACAGAGAATTCCTGTTACTTAGAAATTGATGACAGACTTACACCATTTCCTTTTTTTTTCTTAGACGTTCCATCCTCAGAGCAGCCTGAACTGTTCCTAAAGAAACTTCAGCAGTGCTGTGTCATTTTTGACTTCATGGACACGCTATCTGATCTTAAAATGAAAGAATACAAGCGCTCCACTCTTAATGAACTGGTGGACTACATTACAATAAGCAGAGGCTGTTTGACAGAGCAGACTTACCCTGAAGTAGTTAGAATGGTGAGTTTCTTTTTTTCGCCTTGGACACTTTTAAGCCCCTTCATAGCGACCCACAGGTCTATTTATTGCAGAGGCAGGTCTCTGGAGGTCACCTCCGCAAAAGAGAGCCAGCCTTCTGAGAGCTAAGCAAAAGTAGTCGGCACGATACTAGAATTTGAAGAGCATGATTTCATGAGAATGAAATCCAGAACTTTTCATCTACAACAGTATTGGAGGAATCAATGACTTGAAAACATGAAGCCAAAGACTGCCAGGTTATTATTGGATTTCTGGCATTGGGAAAAGAAAAGACACAGGAGAATCAACAAAGTTTTAGATGTGTTTGAAAAATATTCAAGCCTGTTAGATGTCTTGATTTTTTTCTTTTTTGTCTCTATTGATTGTGGTATAGTAGAAATGGCTTTAAGCTTAATCCGATTGTGATTGTAGAATCTTTTATAAGCTAATCATTCTCTTTATAATCTTGAAATCAGGGGTGATGTCTTTCATTTTTATCATTGTTGTGCACTTTGTGTGGTTGTTAGGAGTTATGAGAAGAAACACATTAGCATAATACAAGTAATTATGTTCTTATTGTGTCAATAATTGGTTTTTTAAAAGCTGAGCCAAAAATATAGTTTTCTGTGACATTTGTGTGGGAGGGTTGCCTTCCATGGCATCCTATAAGATTTTCGATCCAGAGAGCAGTGTGCTGTTTCAGGGAGGCAGGGCTGGCCTGCTAACTGATGAAATTATGTTGCAAAGATCCAGAAGGGGCGGTGCATCATTGAGAAGCCCCTTGGAGAATACGGTCCACTCTCTGTGTACTGCCGAGAAAGTCTAGCTAGCCTTTGTATTTAACTTGTTTATCATTTGTGCTCCATAAATACAGGAAAGAGACATCTATGGTAGAGTAAATGTGGTTACAAATAAAATAGTTTAGATTTGGAAAGGGACCCGGTTATCATAACTTGAGAAATGACTGATGGATGAAAGTAATTTCCAAACAATGTGCAGTTTATTCTTTAGATCCATATCTGAGTGTATATTGCATTTGTTGTTAATTTATAGAAATAAATTAGAATGATTTCTATAGAAAAATAAAAAATAGAAAAAATAGAATGATTTTTAGGTTAAAGACATTGAGCTCTTGAGCAGTGCTTCTCAGTCAGGGAAGGTTTTGGAACAGGGATGGGCCCTTTGGAACATCTAGAAATGTTTGTAGTCATAGCCGGGATGAGGAAGGGAGTGCATCTAGTGGAAAGAGGCCAGGAACGCTGCTTAACTTCTGATGATACACCAGACAGCCCCTGCAACAAGGAATGTCTGGTCTCAAATATCGATAGTGCCACTGTTAAGAAACCCGGCTCTGGAGTCTGCATACTATTTTAAACCTTTTCACCTGATACTTAGGATCTTCTCTAGGCCATCCTTGGTCCTTGGTTTTACCTTATCTGTGTCCTCAGCCAACAGAGGTATCCACTGTTTGTAACTTCCTTCTATATCTTCCATGAGTAGTCCATGAGTATATAAGCATATACATGCACACACACATGTGTGTGTGTGTGTAGTTTTTTTGTAACCTCACAGATGGTGGCATACTATACACACTTTCTGTATTTTCCTTTTTTCACTTATCAATGTGTGTCAGTCTTGTAGCTGTGTAATACTTCATTGTGTGGATTTCCTATAATTTTATTTAAATAGTACTCCATAAATATCCTTGCATATGTGTCAGTTTGCCCTTGTGGGAGAACATCTGTATATTTCCTGACTAGTTTTTTAATAGCCTTTGTGTTTTCCCTATTTCTGCACCTTCATGATTTCCCTGCCCCCCTGCCTCTAATTCTGATTCTCCTCTTCTTCTCAAGACCTGATTTAAATTGCTACCACTGTTCCCTGAGAAGTTCCTAGGTTCCTGTTTCCTTCAGTTCCTCTGCTTCTTGGTAACCTACCCTTTTGGAATTTGTTCATTTGCTGCTTTTTTATCTTTTCACGTGTTTATCTGATTTTTCTAATTAGACTATAAACATTTCTAGGCAGAAGCTGTGTCCTTCATGTCTCTGTGGCCTCCATAATGCCTCCCAGCCCAGATCTATCTGGAGTTTGTTGAAGTGAATGAATTCCCTATTAAAATGTGATTATTCTGAGAACATATTAATAAAGATGTTAGTGGTTTTTCTCCCACTGTAAGGGGAGAAGATAGGTCCAAAGAAAGAACATAGATTTAAGTAGAATCTGCTCTTATTGTCCATTACTGATGTGCTCCTTTTGAGAGAGTTGGGATTACTTCATACTGTTGATTTTTCAAGTTTCTTTGACAAAGAAATTTCATAGATATTAAGCCAAAAACGACAAAAATATAAACACACACAGACACAACAGTTCTTTAAATACCAGGGATGTCAGTATGAACTTAAAGTGAATCTACTGACTGACATTTCTGCTTTGGAATTTTTTAGTATAACCAATTTAAACCAACAGTGACAACTCCTGACTTTACCTTATAATGGGAAGTTTGACCTTTCTCAGTGTTTTTAGTGTAAGGGTGTTGATATTGGGTGTTTTTGGTTAAAATTTGCTTCAACTGTGTAATGGCTCTTGGGATTTTGGTCAATCTTTGGTTGTGGAATAGCAAATGCTGTCAATTGTGTTGGTACCATGTAGTTTTCAAATTCAGGTTCTCTGAAGTAGTGGATATGGTATCCCTTCCCACCCATGTGTAACTGTTAAAAAGAACACTGTTGTCATGTGAATTCTTATTTTTTTGAGCTTGCTTTTAAAGTAACTTTCACAGAGAATTCCTGTTACTTAGAAATTGATGACAGACTTACACCATTTCCTTTTTTTTTCTTAGACGTTCCATCCTCAGAGCAGCCTGAACTGTTCCTAAAGAAACTTCAGCAGTGCTGTGTCATTTTTGACTTCATGGACACGCTATCTGATCTTAAAATGAAAGAATACAAGCGCTCCACTCTTAATGAACTGGTGGACTACATTACAATAAGCAGAGGCTGTTTGACAGAGCAGACTTACCCTGAAGTAGTTAGAATGGTGAGTTTCTTTTTTTCGCCTTGGACACTTTTAAGCCCCTTCATAGCGACCCACAGGTCTATTTATTGCAGAGGCAGGTCTCTGGAGGTCACCTCCGCAAAAGAGAGCCAGCCTTCTGAGAGCTAAGCAAAAGTAGTCGGCACGATACTAGAATTTGAAGAGCATGATTTCATGAGAATGAAATCCAGAACTTTTCATCTACAACAGTATTGGAGGAATCAATGACTTGAAAACATGAAGCCAAAGACTGCCAGGTTATTATTGGATTTCTGGCATTGGGAAAAGAAAAGACACAGGAGAATCAACAAAGTTTTAGATGTGTTTGAAAAATATTCAAGCCTGTTAGATGTCTTGATTTTTTTCTTTTTTGTCTCTATTGATTGTGGTATAGTAGAAATGGCTTTAAGCTTAATCCGATTGTGATTGTAGAATCTTTTATAAGCTAATCATTCTCTTTATAATCTTGAAATCAGGGGTGATGTCTTTCATTTTTATCATTGTTGTGCACTTTGTGTGGTTGTTAGGAGTTATGAGAAGAAACACATTAGCATAATACAAGTAATTATGTTCTTATTGTGTCAATAATTGGTTTTTTAAAAGCTGAGCCAAAAATATAGTTTTCTGTGACATTTGTGTGGGAGGGTTGCCTTCCATGGCATCCTATAAGATTTTCGATCCAGAGAGCAGTGTGCTGTTTCAGGGAGGCAGGGCTGGCCTGCTAACTGATGAAATTATGTTGCAAAGATCCAGAAGGGGCGGTGCATCATTGAGAAGCCCCTTGGAGAATACGGTCCACTCTCTGTGTACTGCCGAGAAAGTCTAGCTAGCCTTTGTATTTAACTTGTTTATCATTTGTGCTCCATAAATACAGGAAAGAGACATCTATGGTAGAGTAAATGTGGTTACAAATAAAATAGTTTAGATTTGGAAAGGGACCCGGTTATCATAACTTGAGAAATGACTGATGGATGAAAGTAATTTCCAAACAATGTGCAGTTTATTCTTTAGATCCATATCTGAGTGTATATTGCATTTGTTGTTAATTTATAGAAATAAATTAGAATGATTTCTATAGAAAAATAAAAAATAGAAAAAATAGAATGATTTTTAGGTTAAAGACATTGAGCTCTTGAGCAGTGCTTCTCAGTCAGGGAAGGTTTTGGAACAGGGATGGGCCCTTTGGAACATCTAGAAATGTTTGTAGTCATAGCCGGGATGAGGAAGGGAGTGCATCTAGTGGAAAGAGGCCAGGAACGCTGCTTAACTTCTGATGATACACCAGACAGCCCCTGCAACAAGGAATGTCTGGTCTCAAATATCGATAGTGCCACTGTTAAGAAACCCGGCTCTGGAGTCTGCATACTATTTTAAACCTTTTCACCTGATACTTAGGATCTTCTCTAGGCCATCCTTGGTCCTTGGTTTTACCTTATCTGTGTCCTCAGCCAACAGAGGTATCCACTGTTTGTAACTTCCTTCTATATCTTCCATGAGTAGTCCATGAGTATATAAGCATATACATGCACACACACATGTGTGTGTGTGTGTAGTTTTTTTGTAACCTCACAGATGGTGGCATACTATACACACTTTCTGTATTTTCCTTTTTTCACTTATCAATGTGTGTCAGTCTTGTAGCTGTGTAATACTTCATTGTGTGGATTTCCTATAATTTTATTTAAATAGTACTCCATAAATATCCTTGCATATGTGTCAGTTTGCCCTTGTGGGAGAACATCTGTATATTTCCTGACTAGTTTTTTAATAGCCTTTGTGTTTTCCCTATTTCTGCACCTTCATGATTTCCCTGCCCCCCTGCCTCTAATTCTGATTCTCCTCTTCTTCTCAAGACCTGATTTAAATTGCTACCACTGTTCCCTGAGAAGTTCCTAGGTTCCTGTTTCCTTCAGTTCCTCTGCTTCTTGGTAACCTACCCTTTTGGAATTTGTTCATTTGCTGCTTTTTTATCTTTTCACGTGTTTATCTGATTTTTCTAATTAGACTATAAACATTTCTAGGCAGAAGCTGTGTCCTTCATGTCTCTGTGGCCTCCATAATGCCTCCCAGCCCAGATCTATCTGGAGTT